TATTGAAATAAAGTTTTACATTACATTACATTACAAAGTAGATTTAGCTTTCTTAATCTCTTTTGGGACTTGTGCCTTTAGCACAAGCTATTTTAAGCTCGATTTTACCACTACTATATGCCTTGTTCCTTTAACTATTAGCAATTATATTTTGTTCATAATAAATGGTTTGTCTTTACTGTACGTTCTATAAATTGTATGTTCCGGAAAAAATTTCTTGACCAAAGAGTTGACGATCGTAAGAAATCACTTTCTCATCAATTCTCCCCTCATATAGAATCTGATGCCAATGATAATTCTCTAAAACGGATCAAAAAGCACTCGTGTTTGCTTGCCTCATGTCCCTTCGCTTTACTTTCAGGACCTTGCCTTTCGTACTATGACAAGAGTCTCTGGGCTTCCATATTACTATACAGTGGTCATATGTGGATAATGGTGCTAAGATGCAGGGAATTTGGCAAAAATCTGCAATGTTCGTAAATATTAGGTCAAGAATATTATTACCTCTTGGAGCTTTCTTGACAACTTGTTTAAGATACAAAGTGCTTTGCGACATCGATTCTGAAAACCCATTACTTGTTGGAAGTCTCCTGCACCAATAAATCAGCAATCATAAAAATGTCTGTAGAAACTTTCAGTATCTATTTGGCATGGAAGCAAATATACACAACCTATACAAATTCCTGATATCTCTCTTGGTAGCCATGCTGGCCGAATAGTCACCCAAATACATTCAAATGACTTGGTTATTAACTCCTCACAAACCTTGAAAGGAATTCTATTATTAATAAATACCGCAACTCCACCACCTGCTCTGGTCATTCTATTATGTCTGCATAAATGCCAAGGCAACCAATTGCTTCACCTGGCATTTTATCCTTTAACCATGTTTACGTGACACAAACTATATCAATCTCCTGCATCTCAACAAGTATTTCCAACTCGTTTATTTTGTTAAAAAGAGATCTTGCATTTCCCAACATAACACTTTGCAAGGATCTGTTGCTGTTAATATTTTTAACACTAGCCCGAGAATGGGAAGCGACATTAGAAGCTCACCTAAAATTTGTACCAGTCATGTATGACTGTTCACATCTATTGGTTATCCAGACAGGTATTTGGTTAACTTGGGGGATCATTTTATCTTTCCTGGATACTAACTAGGGGGATCATTTCATGTTTCCGCATTTGTCCCGGTAGGGTAGGGAAAGGCCCCAAAAAACTGTGAGGCTTGAGCTGTGGAACATTCTTCTTGTTCAACGACACGTCGTCTTTTACCCTCTTTAATCTTTAATCTGATACTCCTAAATCAGCTTACACTATACTAGGAGATACTTTTATATGTATATACATTAACAAAATAACTATGAACTATATATATGAAAAACTTTAAAAGGTAAAAATTACAATAAAAGTGTCCTGCCACTCAGAGATAAAATTAAAGTTGCTTATGGTCAAAAAGGGTATATTATAGTTGGGTCGCATAGTAGGTTCACATGTTTTCGCTTTACTTCTGGTATTATTTGTTTTCGAATTCAGCCTATCTTTCCTATATTGTGTACCAATTATTTGTTTTGCACCTAGCTGTTGATTAATTATGTTGTTTCCTTTACCCAGTTGAAAGCATTCTTTAGAAGTTACTACAATCCGATGCAACAATAGAACCATCTGTGAAACAATGGGGCATTCAAAGTTAGTTATAATTTCGCACAGTTGAGAACATTTGGTGGGATTTACTATATCCGGTGAAACACTAAGACATTCAAAATTAGTTTTGCTCAGCTCTTTTGCTTCCTAATTCTATCCTTCTCTCTTCTTTCTAAGACTACCTGATCTTTTCCGTCTACACTAAGGCTTTCTAGTCTGAGTGTCTGCTTCTCTCTATACTTTTTGAATGTGCTTTGCATGTTCAGCTTATACTCCTAGTATCAACCTTCATTTTTTAACTTCTCATTTCTTTTCTTTTGCTTTTCTGCTGCTCTTAGTGGCTTTTTTATTTGGAGGGTTTTAAATCACTTGAGGGTGATTTTTCTCAGAAACTATCAATATTTTTTTTATAATTTTGTGGATAGGCTCTACTACCAAATAAAAGTACCAAGTTATGATTGTCTCAAAAAATTAGTTTAAGCTAACAGGGAATGAGTAAATTTGATGATGTAATTTGTGACTCATTTGAATACAAAATGAGGGTGTTTTCAATGTTTGTTAAAACAAAAGCCGATTCTTCATTTTGAATTTGTTTTTCCTAAATATATGTTAAAAGAGCAAAATAATCATATGTGTCTAAAAAGTAATAAAGAAACTTGTTCTTATTCCCCCCAATATTTACTTTTTCAAAAAAGGACAGTATTTGTTCCAATTGCTGCATAATAAGTGTCATTACAAATACCTTTCCCACAATTCCTGGGGGCAACCTAGTCTCCTCCGCAGCCTGTTCGCAGGTCCGAGGTTTTTCCCCCACTAACAGGCTGCTTACTGCAATCACAGCCTGAGTACCAAAATCAGGAACTCGTTCGCGCTTAAATTTATTAATTCCGAAACAAAGATGGCATTGTATGATCAACCATTGTGTGAAGTCGCCCATTAGTTGTATTTCTACTTTTAACGATCATCAGAAGAATACGATTCGAACAATAATTAAAGAAAAATGAGATCAACCTCGTACCCATGGCCTTTGCGCGGTTCAGAGGCTCTGGTACGGGAAGCAAAGGCCCTGGTAAACACTGGTCACATGTGTCCAAAACTACTGGACATTTCGTAATAATTTAGTTTTCAATCCAGGGGGAGTGCAGCCGATTGATTTTGTCAAACATGGCAGCACGAAGGTGTGACGTTTTCGAGTTTTATTATTTTACGATAAATAAAACTTTCCTAGTGAGATTTAAAGTGGGTATATATTAAAACTATGCATTCTACGAGCTTTCTTTCAACAAATTGTGGAATAGTGAACGGTAATACTTATCAAAGATCGAGGATCAAACTGAGAGAAAACTAGTCGAGTGTCTGACGAGTGATCTGTCTAAGTTAGAAATAAATTTTATTTATTTATTTTATTTAATATATTTGCCCAAATCAGTTTATAAAATTAACAATTTAAATAGAAAATATTTACAATAGTAGGGCTAGGAACCTTCTAGAAACCATAAGACTTTTGTTTAAGGTCCCTAGTTACAATTCAAATAATATAATATTAAAAGTTAATACCAGTCCAATTGTTTTCAAAGGAATTACAGTGATATATTTACAATAAGGAAAGTGCGTAAAAGATATATCGGACTATAACAATTATTTGGCTTTTCACTTTGTGCCAAGAATTCTACTTATTTAAATTTGACAGAAGAAAATATATTTTCATTGTAGATTTAAATATTAGAAGAGATCTAATTTGCTTATATTGCGTCGGAAGATTATTCCACACATCAATGCCGTTATTACCGAGCGTGTGTTTTTTATAATTTGTTCTAGTACAACTTTTGTGGAGCAATGATGCGTTTCTTGTGTTGTAATTATGGATTTCTTTGTTAGTTAAAAAATATTTATCAAAAATTTCTGGAAGATTTTGTAGATGAAAATATTGTAACATAAATAGACTTGTTAAGAAGTCATTCAATTTATACAAGTTTAGTATTTTAAGGTCATTAAAAATTGGTTCAGTATGGTCAAAATAGGATTTGAAGGTCATTAATCTTACTATCTTTTTCTGGATATTTACTAATTTTTGAATGTGGGATTTGTAAGCGTTACCCCAAACTAAATTACAGTATATAAGATATGGATAGACCAATGCGTAATAGATCAGTTTTAGGGAATTTAGGTTTGTAAAATGTCGTATTCTGGATATAATAGCTGTACATTTGATAATTTTTTTTGAAATAAGATCTATATGATCGCACCATGATAAAAATTCATCTATAACAATCCCTAAAAACGTAGTTTTTTTTACTTGTTTTATAGTTTCGCTATTTATAGAAATTTATCACATTTAGGTTTCTTATTTTTTTATCTGAAAAGGATCAGCTTGGTTTTCGCAGTGTTTATAGATAATTTATTAACATTCAACCAATCTGTAATTTTGTTCATTTCAACTTGAATAGTTTCGTTTAAAGTTTTGAGACAAACATCGCTATACAGTATGTTAGTGTCATCGGCAAATAATATAATATTGAAACCAATTTACTGCAATATTGAATATCATTTATCCCCGAGCTGACGGCGCTTCGCGCTGTGCGAGGGTACTAATTCCCCCCAGCTATTTACACCCGGGGAAGAGAAGCATTAGCGAAGTCTAAAGTTCATCAAATATCGCGGGCGTGGGTCACTGTGCATGTTTCGGTGGGTGGTCATCCTCACTGATCTCATAATATAGCGGACTGTAATGAATAGGCAACACTGATTGGTCCAATTTAAAATTGGCATTATAACGGCTGCATGACGATTGACGACAGCGAAATTGATTTGATGATTTCTGGCAAATATATTTCAATTTTGCAAGATTTTGTAAATTGCAAAGGATTTTTGATGAAATAAAGGCAAGAGGATTGCTAAAAGAAGGAAGTAAAGGTGCCGGCGTTAACAAAGGTAATGTCGCGTTCCCAATTCAAGCACCTCGTGGGAAGAGTCGAATAGGAGTTCGTTTAGTGTTCAACCACGCAAGAGACGATAACTTTACACTTTAACTTTTAATAATTGTAGCGAAATGACATACAAGTTTACATAAACATATATAGTCCTCAAATGCGCGGTGAAACTACATAAAAATAAAGGAAAAATACATGCTATAACACACGAAAGGTAGACGATTGTTCAATGTCAAAAGTCCGACGACTTACGTTTATAATGTCCCCAAAATTTAACAGGAAAATATATATATAGCTTGTCTCTATGAAATCTGATGAAATACAATGTTCGAAAAACGTTATTCCTGTTGCTAAGGCAACCAAACCTGCGCGAGTCCTGGGCTCCACCATTCGTATATCGACGACAATTCCCGACAACCCGACTCACGCCACGTACTTCTCCGAGTCAACATCACACTCCTCGCCCAAGGATATGCTATCCTTGTCATTGAGATCGTTGTCCTTCTCGGTTGGTAGCAACAACACTATTTCGCTGATAGGATGGTAGACTATCTTCCATTTCCCTTCTTTGCACACCATGATCTTGACTTTCCTCACTTTTCCATCTTCGCTCGTTAATGCTTCTACTATCTTTCCCATAGGCCACTCGTTACGGGATACGTCGTTGTCTTTTACTAGGACTACATCTCCTCCAGAAAGGTTTTGTTCTCGGTTGCGCCACTTCGTTCTGACTTGGAGGTTTTGAAGGTATTCCGCAGCACCACCCCTTAACTTCCTTGTTCGGATTATCCATGGGCCAAATACGTCAACTCCTATGCTCGTGAAGGGTGGGCTTGGTTCAATTCGGTTCTTTGGAAGGTTGATCATATGCTGGGTGAGTGTTCTTTCTCTCAGTTTTCTGCATGTCACGCAGGAATTCAGGATTCTAGACACCATTCTGTGGCCGCCGCCGACCCAATAACCAGGTTGCCGTAGGGCTCCGTGTGTGATCTGACGGCCTTGATGGTAAACCTTGTGGTGATAATGACAGATCAACAACTCTGACACATGGTGTTTCTGTGGCAGAATTATTGGATGCTTCTCCTCAAACCCCAAATCTGATCGATGTATACGTCCTCCAACTCTGAGAACACTGTCTTTGTCTAGGAAAGGATCCAAATGAAATAGGCTGGACTTCCGTAACACCGTTCTTCTTTCTCTCAAGGACTGACGACTCTCTGGTTTGTTGCCACTCCTCCTTTGCAGTACGCTGATTTCGTCCGCGAAGGCTTCTTCTTGGGCTGTTCGAATTATCAAGATTTCAGCTCGTTTAGATGCGTCTAGGGTAGGACCGTCGTTGTCTCCGCTTTCGGTCGTCTCGTGATCGTGCTGTGACGTTTGTGGCTCCGACTTTATTTCGAATCTTTTCGCTCTCATGACGAGTTTTGCAATGGCTCGCTGAAGAGTAGACCATTCTGAAAACCGATCGAATCGTTCTGATCCTACTCCGAGGGCCCTCTGGGTGCTGGTGGCATGGACTTTTACCTCTTGTCTGACTTCTGGATTGCTCTCGTCGATATCTCCATCAGATTCATCGATTGTTGAGGTGGTAGGCGAGTTCGACTTCAAGAAGGTGGGTCCTCTTAACCAGTCAGACTCTTGTAGTACTTTAACTGTAATACCCTGTGTCGCTAGGTCGGCAGGGTTCGTTGATGTGTCAATATACTTCCATTGGCTGGGTTTGGATACATCTCGAATTACTTGGACCCGATTCGCTACGTAGATGTGGAATATTCTGATGTCGTTCTTGATATATCCGAGGACCACTTTCGAGTCAGTGTAAAAGGTCACGCTGTGGATTTCGATAT